CCCCAAAACCCCAAAACCCCATAAGCTATAAAATCATAATAGATATCAGAAATTTTTGAAATTTTCAATAGAAATAATCAATATTTATAGATATAAAGACTTACTTATATTATCCATTTCTTCATGTTCTTATTCAAAAATTGATGTTATTATTGAAGTTTGATTAAGAATAATTTCAATTTATTATAATTTTATTGTTATTGTGATAGCTATATTATCTTTGAAACAATTTATCTTCATCATTAGCCGCTCTAAATTATTAACCTTTAACTTTAAAAGCATTTAAAATTTTTTCATCTATTAATTTCATTTCATATCTAGATCTATTATTACTTTAGCGATCATCATCCATGACATTTTATAATCTAATAGAATCTTATGATTCTTATTTCAGATCATCTAGACTTGTTTAATCTTTAAAATTATAGCTATATTTGCAATCTTATGGATTAATGATTTAATAGTTGCTGTTAAATCTCATTCTTGAAGTTTCAAATCTCTGATCTATCATTTATTTACTCATATATTTTTAATCTGTATTAGATGAGAGATTTATACTTGTTTTTTTACTTTAATTATAGTGGAAATAAAATGAATTATTTGTTTGCTCCATCAAATTATTATCTGACAAGATAGAATGGTTTTTTTCTTTATTAAACTAAGAAGCCTTTTTATCTTCAAAATCTTAATATTTCTATACTTTTTTATTCAAACGTTGTACATAGGCATTTTTTATTTTCTTAAAAAGAAAAATGATTAGTGTAACTATTAGGTTCATCCAATTAACAAATATATTAAATAGAGTAACAATTATCATATACCAACCAATATCATATCTCAGTTTGATATCATTAACTATATCAATGTATACAATTAGAAAATATGACATAGACAATAGAGTAGCTTCATTGTAAATTTCAAAAGTAAAATCTATTTTACTCTTGTAAGGTTTGCAATGAATTAAGTACACAATAAGAGCTAAACTACAAATAATTTAGAGGATTGCTTAGAGTAATGGTTGATCACCGAAATACACAATCGAAAATGCAAAGACTAATCTTCTACTAAAGTAAAATATTGTTTGAAATAATGCCTCAAATTTATCAATATTTAGGTTAACATATAGTGTTCCATATCTCATAGTGAAGTAATCGTCTTTCAAACTTTTGAAATATGACTTAAGGAATAGATATGATCCGAATGGCATAATCAAAACATAAAATGACATCATTATAGTTGAAATCACTGTTAATAGATTTTCAGAATCCATCTGAATTAAGAAGTTTTAATTTTAAGAGTAAAAATTACAGCTTTTAAACTGATTAATGCAGCAATAGCAAAATTAAGATATCCTTTCATCGTCGATCTCAGATATACACTAAAGAATAATTTCTTCTGTAAAATATCATAGATCCTAGAAAAACTAAAATATTTAATAGCAAAAGGTGATACATCTGGTATTTCCTAGACAAAAGCCGAATCAAAATAGTAACTAAACCAAGAATAACTGAAAATACCAATATGAAAAAGAGCATTCCTAAATTCTGTAAAATATTAGTTGATTCATAGCTTGCAGTTGTTAAGGGTAAAAATTATTATCAATGCTTTAAAAGATATCCATAAATTTGAAATTTTCTCTAACATTTGAATTTTATTCTGACGCTGTTGAGAGTACAGCCTATATGTACTCTTTAGGAATTATATTCATATTGGAAATATCAACTATAGACTTAAAACATAAAGCGGCATTAGCAGGCAGAGTAATTGAAAGTAATGGTAAGTGAACAATAATCTGAAGAGTTTGTATAAGCATCCACAGTTTCTTTAGAGATAGCCCCATTACTAGTGACAAAAAAATATTTGAAGTGATAGCTCCAGTGACAGCTGAACTTGCGGTAGAAGCCAATGCAACTAAAGCTTTAGTTGCAGCTTAAATGATTAATAAATTTAAGTTACCATCATTTGGAAGTTGAGGTGGAATTTCTCGTGATATCTCATAGTTTTCAGAAACTGTCTTCTTTTTATCTTGACTTACAAAAAAGTACCTTTCACTGAATTTCACATCAAGATTATCGTAACCCTAAAATACTTAAAATAATTAACTTACTCTTTGAGAAGAAATATCTAATGGCTTTTCGAAGTTTATTTGAATAGTTAATGAATTACTGACAAAATCTGTAATATTCCAATTTTTATCAGAAGTTACTTAAATAATCTCTAGATATCTGTTCTTAGGGGTTAAACTATATTCTTCCTTTTTATTCAAGTATTATACTTCACCATCATACTTGTTAAGATACAATTTAATTGCATTTGTTTCTACAATTGGATGTAAATCTTTAGGCACTATCATTTTCTAATCGAAGCGTATTTTTATTTACCCAAATTAGTCGATCTTATCTACTTTAGCATTTATTTTACCTGTCAGCTACTTCCTATTAATGACCATACCTCCTATTTGAAATGAAGTTTCGGTCATTTAGAGGTATTAGCCTGTGGGACTGCTTATCTCTTATTCAATAGATTTTTCTTTATTAATTTTAACTTCAAGAAGTGATTATGATGATTTTTAGTCTTCATTTGAATCTCTCAAAATTATCATTATTTAATAGCTTCCAACTTAAAGATTACTACTAGGCTATATACTTATTATAGAATCTTTTAAAGTTATGAAAGTTGGATTATTTGCCAATAATACTTCTACGAAGTCATTTTCCTTATCAAAAGCTTCTGGTAACTTATATTAAATTGATTCATCAAAAGTAGTTTCTAATATACTAGAAATTGGGATTTTAAATTACGGAGGAGTATTTTTCTCTCCTTCAATTGTTAATTTGATAGTGATTGAATTTTATATATTCCTATTAAACTGTAACATACTTCCAATAATCACAATACTATAGACTCCTTTGAGAGTCTTTTGAGTTGATTAAATTAATATTGTTTAATAATTTTGTAAAAATGATATTTGGCCAGAATATTCTTGATTTTTATCACCTTTAATACTTGCTGTATACATAATTTGATCGCCACAATCATTATCAGGAATAAAAGGCAAAATTGGAATCACTAAAGCAGCACCATTTAATATGTAATTGTAGATTGATTTTTGATTTGGTACATATAGGAATTAAGTTTCACAACTACTAATTTATAGAGTAAAAACTGTTTAGCCTAAAGCAATCTAGTTTAATTTTCCAATCATTAATATTTCATAACTTCCTACCAGGCTACTGTTTTTGGCGTTAATATAAAGTATCAATGAAGGCTCATTGAATTGAAGAATATCTTTAAATTGGGTTTTATTATTTAAAGATTCATCTTTGAAAAGAAATTCGTAGGTAAATGAATTACAGTCATTTACATCTATTTTCCAATCATTTATTCTAATTTATTATTGCTCCTCTGTTACTGAAAAATTTATTATTGTGTTGTTTAATCCCCCATAAGATGTTACATTTGCCAGGCTGCAACCTTTTACAAAATTTATCGTCAGCTTTGTCGCATTAAATAAAGATAATTAATTGCTGATAAGGGTAGTTTGACCTTAAATTTCAGCACTCCATTATTTTCCAACAAAATTAAGATCAGAAATCGGAGCAATCTCTAGTAATTATTAATCAGAGTCTTGATCACTTAATACTGAAACTGATATCACCTAATTTCCTATATTTTAATTGACTAAATCATATTAAATTGGTTAAACTAGACATAGACTATCTGTTGCTACATTATTATTAATTGATATTATGAAATTTTTGAGTAAAAGTTATTAGATTCCATCTCCAATTTTATACTCAAAATTATATTAAGAATCGATATTATCTAGATATGCTTGATTACAACCACATTCATGATACAAATTAAAAGTCAAATTGTCTGATATATTTTTTTAGTTTAAAAGTTAATATTTCAAGCTAAAACTTTCAACTAATTGGCAATAATTATTGTCAAATTCAATCAATCCAAATTCTAGATTAGAGGCATTGAAGAAATAAATTGAAGGTAATTATTCAACTATACTATACTAGATTCCACAAATGGAAGGGACAACTTAATTGAATAAAAAAAGATCTAGTGTAATATTTTTATAGTTTCTATAGTCTATTATGAAATTAGAGTTATTAGTTTTTTTAGCACTGACTTTTAAGCAAGGATTTACAAACTTGATTAGAAATCCTTGATATTTAAATTAACCATAATTAATTTAACCTTTTATCTCAATATAATAATCTCCTGAGGTATAAAGATCAGTAGAGTATACTTCAAAATATCTTGAAGCCCAACTATAATTTTGAAAGAATAAATTGATATTGACTGCAATAAAACCGGCTGATATGTTATAAAAGCAATCATTAAAATGGATACTACCGCAATAGTTTTATGAGCTATGCCATTGGCTCATCTAAACCGAAAGAGGCTTTTCTCCGATATTATACTCGATAGAATTCATGGGATCATAAGTCAGAAAATTTGAATTACATTTTGAAAATATGTAAACATAGAATGATTAATTTGCCTTAACGTAAGTTCCAACACTTCCAACTATCCAAAATTTGTATGTTCCATTCATTGTGACGCTTGTTGTATTGACTAGAAGAATATTTTTATTTACTAAGTAGATTAGTTATTATGTATTGGTAATGTTGTATTAAAAATCATCGAAAATTGAATATTATATTTCTGGGCACATAACAGCCATGTTGTGACTCCAAGGTGCAATAGTTTGATTAGTTTAAACGTAAGAATAAATATCATGAAACATATTAGGCGTCTTATTTATAGTTATTTAAGCTTTTGAACATGGATGTAATACAGAAATAGTAATGTCTTAATAAGTTTATGTTAATGAATTTGTTATTTTTGCTGTAATCCTTATTCTATAAATACCAATTTTAGAAGTAAGATTAGTATAGACTGAGAATTATCTTAGTGTATCATTATAATTAATAATGTTGATATCAACTTGTGATAAATCGCTGTAAGTTAAAGAATATGTTACATAGCATCCATTGATAGTATCATTTAGCTATTGCTAGTAATATGAAATCGATAATGCATTATCTCCGACAAAATATTCATAGCTTTTAACTTCTAAATGTAAGTCTATGAAAGAAATATTCAAGCATGGAGAATCCATAATGTCCCAAATATACAATTAGAAACTGTTTTCAAAAAACTAGTTATTATTAATCTACTGGTAAAATTTAACTGTTTAAATGGTTGATTAGTAGTTGGAATTTGTTGTATATATCTTAATTTAACTTTTATTCTAGTCGAAAGTACTAAATAGATTATCAAAATATTACAGTTAGTTTTTAATGTCAGGACAAGAATTGCTGATCAAACTTTGATCTTGTATTTGTATTGTAATTGGATCTGTCCCTATATAATAATCATATCTTGGAAATTACTATAAGTTGACTTAAAAACTTCTATCATTCATTTGGCAAGGGAATTGAAACTTATGATATTATTGATACTTATCTAAAGTTAAAGTTACTTCACTCAATATTGAGATGAAAGAAGTATTAAATTCCAATAATGAAGTTGAAAATGTCAATATAGTTCATGTGATTGCAATTGTTTCCAATGTTTTTGAATCATTCAGACATGTCTCATTTTAATTCAATGATATTATATGGGCTACTTTATTGGAGAATGTTTATCCATTATACTATTTTGTACTGCCAATAATATAGCCAAACTTACTATTCCAATCATTGTAGCTAGTTAGAATGCCTTTTGAAAGGTAATGACTAGCTATATCTTGATTAAAATAACTGAAGCAGGTATAGTTTATAGAAATTTAATTCATAATACCAAAACATGGCTAACCATACATGCCAGATACTGTCTACTTTTCAAAAAACAAGTATAATATATCATTGCTCCTCATTTAAATATTCTTAGTATATATCGAATCAAATAATACCTTACCATTATATAAATCTCCACTTGTTGTATAATTTGACTTCGAGAGTTGCATAAAAATCAGCATTGAAGTACTAGTTTATGAAAGGTAAAATAATTAAGTAATGAACCAATAGGAAGGATCAAATTCGAAAATAGCTATTCCTAGAGCATTATAATTCTTGGCATCTGTAAATTGGGTGGAAGTCTTTTTTGATTTAACTAATAGATTTCCTTAAAATACAGTAAGAACGTAGGCAACTGGATTAGATCCAGTAGTACCTTACAAAAATGTAAAATTACCACTAGAATCTTGAGTTACAGTCAAAGCTTGATCTGGATTGATCTATGATGAAATGA